ATCATCTAGGCCCTGCGGTCGATCGATGCAATTGCACTAAGTCTGGAGCTCTTCTGCCTCATCGAGATCCCGGGAGCCGAGAACCAACGGAGCGTGCTGCGAGCATCGCTCCAGGCACAACCTTCGTGGCATCAGGGTCAATCGCAGGGCCGCGGGGTTTAGATTCGCTAGCTGGAGAGCTACTTTAGTGTGATCTTCGGGCACAAGGTAAGACACATCCCTGTAGCAGACCCTGTGGGCCTCCAACTAAATCACTACATGCCACAACATGCCGCTTAGCTCAAAAGCTGCTTGAAGTGTTGACACGGACTAGCTGAAGATGCGCAACGGCGAGATTGCACCTAGATTCAACAAGCAGCGAGCCACAAATTTTCATGAACTGAGGCAGCCGGAAAAGCATTGTGAACCCTTTTCGAAAGTTGTTGAGCATGGCCTGAGCCCATACTCGCCCGGACTACCAACCTTCCTGGCCAGGACGTTGCAGGACCTTAGAGCGGTCGACCTCAGACCTGTACGCCACGAAATCCAAGCCCTGGATGCCTAAACTTGAAGCCGAAAGATTCCAAATGTATTAAGAAGAATTATATGTATATACATATACATCCAAACCCTGACATGAAAAAATCAACAGCATCCCCCAACTCTACCCCAAGCCTCAGCCCTAAGCTTGGAAACTCCAATTTCGCTCTCTTTCTCTCCGTCTCTCTGCCTCTCGCTCTCTCCCGCAAGGCCTGGCTGTCTCGCTGGTGCGAGCTGCAGGCGCGACAATTTGAAGACTGTAAAGTTTGTAAAGCTCTCCTTAGAGGTATGGTCACGCAGGATCGCGGAGTTCACCCTTTCGGGACGTGTGCCCTTGAATCCTGCGGGACGTGTGCGAAGCCCTCCCGCTGCGGCTCCAGCTTGTGCTTTTGCTGCTTTCTCTCACGGCCTGGATGCCACTGCCTCAAAAAAAACATTGAAATCGAAAGGCCGCAGTCAGCAATGTCAAGAGGCCTCAACTCACAGGACTCTGAAGAGAAAGAGTTCAGAATCGCCGCTTGCCGTTTTGTCTCGCTTGCCGAGAAGCAGACATGGCTGCCTCGCGTAAACGGAAGGCCGAGCCACCACAACTGCAGATGCAGACCTACACTGCAGCGAGTGTTGGGCAACTAGGCACTTTCGGGGCGAAGTACAAGCGTTTGGTTCCTGCGGGAGTCCAGCTTTTGTGCATTAAACTTGTGCTTGTTCTTCCACAAAAAGCCCTAGACCAAGCACTGTGAGGCTCTGTGAGGCACCAGGCGATGGTGCATGAAACCGGCAGAGTGGTAGCAAAACGATCCACCAGATACCGAAGGATCGAGAGGTTCAGATCCTCAAGGAGCTGCGTGGGCACCCAAACATAGTCAGATTGGTGCGTTTACAACAGCAAATAGTGACCGCGGCGCAAGTCTCAACCTGGTTTTCGAGTACCCATCTGATACACTGTTCCGTGCCATCAGGCACTACAATACAGTCGGGGACATAGGGAGAATGAGAATGGATGCGTTCTATGTCAAGTTGTACCAAATTTCCAGCTCATGCGCGGCATTGCTTTTATGCACGGTCGTGGAATTGTCCATTGCGACCTGAAACGAATCTGCTGCTGGACACTGGGACGTCCAACGGATGTCGTTTCTGGGGTTGTGTTAGTTGCGCATTGAACGCTTAAAAACTTAAATCGCTATTTTGCCATTGCTTGTTGGGAAGTCGCAGAAGAGCCTGAAGATCTGTGATTTCGGTACTGCGACACGCCTGGTTCCGGGAGAGCCAGCCCACACGCCATACAAGATGTCCCGCTACTACCGTGCTCCTGAGCTAGTTCTTGGGGCTACGGCTACGGGTTTTACCACAGCTGTGGACTTGTGGTCTGCGGGCTGCGTTTTTGTAGAGTTGATCTTGGGCCAACCACTGTCCACCAGGCAGAACGGGATCAACTCGTTCAGATCATTAAGGTGCTTGGCACTCCACACAGCAGTTGCAATGAACAACGCCTATCCCTACCAGTTCACACCCGCGCTGCCGCCGTGTTCCTGGAAGAGGGTGCTGCGTAGCTGGGCCTGAGACCACGCCTGTCCTATGCTCCAGCTGACCGCTCTCCACCAGCCCAGGTCCTCCTCCGTTCTGTGACGAACTGAAATCTGGAAGGAAAAGAGCAGGGAAAGATGCTGTTCAATTGCAGCGAGGACGAGCTGTGTTGGCTTACTGCGGACGAGAGGAAACAGCTGATTCCACGTTGGGCGGTGGGAACGGTTCAACCACCATGCTAGGCCCTGAAAGGCTTAAGGCTTAAGGCTTAAGGTAGGCTTAAGGTAGGCTTAAGTTAGGCTTAAGTGTGCTCCAGTTTCGTCCTGGTCGTGCCGCAGCTCTCGCATGCTTATATTTGCAGCCGGGGACTGTTTCAAGTTGCGCCCGCCTCCCAACAATCTGATGAGCTGGAGTCAATCTTGTTTCGCTCCCGGAAGATTCTCTGAAGACAGTTTGCGCGGTGTATCCGGCATGCAAAGTTGGTGCAAAAGCGTGCAGGTGAGCCACCCTGGACTCCTTGTGGGCCTCCGGGAGGTGGGGTGTCGGGTGTAAGGTTCAGGGTTGAGATGCTTTGAATTGCTTTGAGATGTTTTGGGGTTTTAGGTGTTGGTGTTGGCAGCGGCTCGTTTGCCTGGTTGAAGTCTTCGGGTTTCTGGAGATTTTCCGGAATCAGACTGGCGGACCAGAATTTGCACAGAGGGTTCACGGACGAAACAGCAGGTGCCAAAAGCAGAGGCTGGGGCTTGCAGCGGTCTTCGACCAGTCCAAACCAGATGGTTGCCAGGGCCACACCGAAACTTCATGAGACTTCGAAGCCGTCGCCTCCAGGCTTTCTGGGACGCTCCTCTGGGATATCCCATGGCTATACTCTGCGAGTGCGCTTGCAAAAAGCCGGGCTGTCAAAATGTGTGTTGGGTTTTTTCCCGTAGAGGGCGGGTGCAATTGAGGAGATTGCCCTTTTGGCTTTCTTGGTGACTTGTGCAGTCGCCTGTTCGGGCTGCAGTCCTGACTTTGGAAACGTGTAGACCCGTGTGCCAACGTGCAATCTGCAGCTCTGCCTATCCCTGTGGCCGATCCCGGAATTCCTGCGAATCGTAGTCAGCTAGGCCGTGCCCAAAACCTACACACCGTGCCCCCAAGGTGCGCTTCTTTCTTGTGTACTAAGAAATGGGATCGGGTTTTGAATTCGTTGGATGCTGCAGAAGAATTTTCATTTCTGTATCCGTGAGGTACATGCCGCTGGGCTCCCTGGATGATCTAATCCAGGCAAGTCTTGCCTAATGCCTGCTCTGAGGTTATTGGGGTCGAGAACCAGTTTAGTAATACAGGGAGTGCAGCGAAACAATCATCCATCAACGGCAACGCGGCAAGAACACATACGGAACATACTACCCAGAGCCGCCAGAACCCCATAAGCACACCCCTGAACATCCCCGAGCCCATCTCCGACCCCATGAATCTTCAGCTTTCGGAGGCTTGTGGGGGGCTTCCCGAGTTGGCCCTGCGTGAGATCGCCCAGACGGTTCTGGAGGCAGAGCCATCGGAGGGATTAAACCATCGGACTGTGGTTTCAAAGGCAGGACGACATGGAAAGTCATCGGAAGGGCATCTTAGGGCCTTAGGGTTAGGGTCACAGCATGCCTGGACGTCGGGAGCTTGTATCGCTTGTGCCGCTTCTGCCGCTTCTGCCGCTTGTACCACTGTCCAGATGCAACTCCTCACGTTTGTTCTCTTTTTTGTCAGAGATTCAGCTTTTTGCGGGTATTGAGTATCGTGGGGCCGTAGACGTTGCACTCAGCGCTGTGATCCTCCAGGCGCTTGTATTCGGACAATGGGTGACTAGCCCCTTTTTTTGGGGGGTGGGCGGGTGGGCGGGTTGGGGGGGGTGGGCGGGTTTGGGGGGGGGGGGGGGGGGGGGGGTGGGAGCTATAAATTACGGCGACTCACTCGTTCTTGAGGCAGGCATCTCCCCACCCCTTGCAAACCCCTGCACCCCAAATTCCCAAGTCCTGAAAGGCCTTGCACCACTTGTCATGCAGCTTTTCGCTTGTCACATCACTAGAAGTACGTTGAAACTCGCTTATAATGTAGGCTTTGCCTGCACTAGACCCAAAGCTCTGGTGACCCCGCCTCTCTGACATTCTCTGGCCTCCCAACGAAAGTCTACGAAAGTCTGCTAGGCCCTGGACTTGCTTCACTCCATGGAGCCCCCGGTGGTCCATGGCTGCTTGAAGCCGTCGCAGGCTGGGATCTTAGATGGGCTTGAGGGGAGGGGTGGGGGCTTAAGGCTTATAAGGGTTTTGGGAGATGGCAGAGAGATGGCAGACTGAGAACTTGAATGTTGGGGGAGTCGCTCCAAACTCGCTTGAACAACTGTCTCGTGCTTGTGCCTTGAGCAATGGCTGTGCCGTTGAACCTGAACCGGGATAACCTCTAGACCTTGTAGACTGCCGCAATACCGTACAAAGCCGCACGTCCTATAAAGCCCGATAGAACAAAGCCGAAGTCGAGGTCCTCTTCACCGCCTCGGGCAGCCCTCGGCTGACATTCGGCCTGGAGCAACGCATCAAGCACTCCCAGGCCCCTGGGCACCTTGTGGCGATTCGCGCAACGCAGGCAACATCAGGCAATATCCGGCAGTACAGGTTGCAAGATCCCCAGGCCATGTGGATGGGCTGCAGCTGCTTCTGCTCAAAAGCACGGGACCATGGTGACCATGGTGTTGATACCAAGTCTAATGAGAAGCCCCCTATGTGTTAAGCATTTGGAAGTTCGTGACCTGTGAGGCGTCTTTTGATAAGGCTGGCTCAAGCATGGAAGGCCCAGTATGGCTATGATCTTTAGCTAGCAGCAAGACATGATGAAAATTATCAGAGTTGAGTGCTGACGACGCTCACTCCCCTTCAGACACTCTCCGGGTAGAAATCGCCTGGGCGGCTGAGGGCAGCCTGAGAGCCATGACAGAGGCCCGTTTTACGATCTTTTAGGCATCTTTTTTCGCCTTTCGCGCGGGGTTGGGTGCCTCAGCGTCCATGACTTGTCGGAGTCCTGGGTGTTTTGGGGGAGCTCTCAGAAAAACTCGGGGGCTCCAGCCATCCAGCTCTGTCTTCAGTGAACATGCGCCGGTAAGGGCCTGAAAAGCTTAAAAACCAACCTGCATCCACATGCAAAGACTGGCGAGTTGGACAAGAAGATCTTCAAGAAGAGCGAGGCGCACAAGGGATGGGCCTTAACTCAAAGCTGAAGCTTGAAAAGACCCAAAGAAACAGCCAAAATGACAACAAAAAGCCCTTGCCAGGATAACAAGAGGGGCATCCCAGAAGCGATCTTCATCGAGAATGTGGAGGCGCATTCTTTGACTTTGTTCCTTCCTTTCCCTAATCTGACACCAGAATGGGCACTCTGCGCGTTCCCTTTCTTGGGCTTGAGCTTGCGGTTGGGTGGAGAAGTGAGGGGTACGCTGAGCTTTTCCGGACAGCCCTCAGGGATCTCTCCGGCTTCCTTTGCTTGCTTTGGGGCTGTGTCTTTGTGTCTCTCGCTGAGACTCGCTTTGTGCTTTTTCATCGGCAGCGGCTCCCAAGCTTCAGCCGACGGAACCCGGTTCAAGACCACACTTTGCTCGCGGAAAGCCGAAGGTGTCGAGCATGGGCCCAAGGCTGGTCCCTGCTTCGCCCAGCATAGGCAAGATCGGCAGCAAAGGAAGAAGCGACCGTAGCGGTAGAACTTTCCTGAAGCCAGGTTCCTCTTTTTTCCTTTGCATGTAACCCGCCGAACAGCCACCAAACACCCAGAAACACCCAGACGCATCCACAGACACCCAGAGGTATCCACAGACACAAACCGATGCCATCACTCAGAGCATCTGAGAGGAGCTGTGCAAAGAGCGTGAGCCCACGGAGGTGGTCGGAAGGCTGCAGGACCTGCACAGCAAGCGGCTAGGCACAGGGGGCCCACAAGAGCCTGCAGAGGGCAGCGAAGTTCGGGCTTGAACGGATTGAACGAATTGAACGGGGTGAACGGTTTCAAACTTCAGGCTTCTGAGATGCTTGAGATGGTCAGTTTCGGGGATGTGTCGGATCATGTTCAGGGAAGTTTGTAGGGATTGGCGATTGGATTTTGTTTTAAGGCTGTCTAGGGTCTCTAGGGTCGTCAATGCCATCCTGGGCTCGCGTTTGAAGAGCCGAGCCCTGAACCTCTCATTGGGCACAGGGCGCGGTGGTAAAGTTTGGTTTGAAGGGGATGTCCCAGTCGGAGTCGATCACCTTGAATCCATAGCCCATCATAGCCCGACTCTTTGGTTTTTCTACGTCCTGCGAGCTCCCCCATGCAGTGCACCATATCAAGGAAATTGGAAGCCCTCAAGTTGACTTACAGAGCACCTTCTGGGTTTGCATCCGAGGTATCAATACATGCAAAGCTCCCTCACGGCGCAGCGATCCTCACTGAAGACGAAGCTGCCAGAAGCTCAGGGTTGCGAGGGAAGCCTATCGCGGCCTGAGGCCCCTAAGCCAAGATGGGGTGCCCCTCAAAAAACCAGACTTCTTTATCCGTCGATGTCCAAAAGCCGCGGCTGCAGAGGCCCGACATCGTGTCGGCGTTGGAGGCTCGAAGGGGGGGGGGGGGGAAAGGGGGGGGGGGGGGAACTGGGAGGCTCAGAAGCCTCATGCGCCATTGAGCCCATAAGAAGGAGTTGCCATTTCTGAGCGCCACCAAACTCGCGAAGCCAGAGAGGTCGTCCAACACCTCGTGTCAAAGAGCAGCGAGGCGGGCTTGCGACGGCTTGGGAGGGAGATTTGAGGGATTCGTGGTTCTGGTAAAAAAATTGGGGATCTGGCATGGCTTGACTTTGCAACGAGGCGCTGCGTGAGCAAGACTCGGCATTGTTCATGCGTGTGGGTCTTCCCCAGAAACCATGTAACTGCCGAAGCCGACCATGCTGACAGCAAACATTGCAAACATGAGACGCCAAAGGCCGTGGGCCTTTCAATATTCGTCGCCTATGCAGAATTTTACCGAAACCGCACTATGACGCGACATTGAACTCCAATGCAGTGCCCCGTCAGCCGTCAGCTGTGCAGTGCCCAGAAGCAGCTGCTCAATTTCCGCTATAGCAGGACGATGCGCGACAAAAAAGCAGAACTTGTCTGCTTCCAGGGCAGCAAGCAGTTTACTTCCTGCAAGGGACAAAAAAAGAAGCCATGGAGCAAACTTCTGTCTCGACACAGAAGCTCTTGAGCAGCCAGAAATCCCAAGTTCTCGATACAAGGCTGTCGCGACTAACATGCGTCTCAGAAATGCAGATTCTAGGGATTCTAGGGGTTGCAATGCGAGGCCGGCGAGAATGAGACCACCGACTACACCTATCAACTAGCTGAGAATATCTGGTCCAAGGTGCACCGGGCGTTTAAAGACGTTTAAAGGCTCACGGGTTTCATAGACGGTTTCACAAAGTCTGGCAACGGATGTTGAGGGGCTTGCACTTGCCCGCTTCAAGCCCTAATTGCCCAAAATACCCTGCCCAACCCCCAACCCTCTTCACTCCTTCCAAGGGTGTCCGGGTGGTGTCGGGTCGTGGTGTGGACAGCCTGAACCAACGACCATTCCGAGCTGGAAGATGTTTGCTCTGTACGCTATGCTGCGTGAAGCTGAATTGAGGCGTCAGCACCTCCGAGCAAGACAGTGTGCCTGTGGCTGGGTGCAAACTGCATGCTGGAGTACACTTTGGACGAGGCCCGGCAGGGTAGCCGGATGGCACTGAAAGCACCGCCCCAAATGTGGGTCGCACTGTTCTGGTCTTGGCACTGGCTCCAGGCTTTGGATCTGCTGAAGACGAATGAGAGCAATGCCAGGCATTCTGCGTTGAAGCGTCAGCTTTGGCAGGGCTTGTGAAGACATGCCAACATCCGCTCGAGATGCCAATTTCCGATTTCCAGTACCAGCACGAGCTTGTATCATCACGAAACACATTCTGCAACAACAAAAACCATTGGGGAGGACCACTCTGTCGTCTCTGGAGGAGGCAGGGCAAAAGCCTGCATCTCGGGTTAAGGCATGAGGAGGGGCCTGAAGCCTGTTTCGTGGTGCTTGGAGAGAGATATACATATACAAAAATACTCAAATGTACATATACACATGCATATATCATGTACATATACATATATATATATAGATGTACATGTTATCGTCCCCGCGAAACTACCTTCAAACCCAAATTCATGGACAGCATGTTTTCCGATGCCCATTGTTTCTGGAAGGATACGTCTGAGTGTCAAACTTCCTGGAAGACATTGCCATACCATCTTGGGGGGCCAAATGCATTGAGCACGTTGGGTTGCTACCGTGTTCCAGGACTTCGCCCTCCCAATTCATGGAAAGCATCGGTAAAGCCAATGTGTTCCAACATCTCCCTGGTTTTAGAGACATCTCCGTCTCGGTGGCCAAATTCATGGCAAACTTTCCATGGTTTCAGAGACATCTCAGGGCCGTAGGCTCATAGTTCCAGAAGACCAATGCTTTCTCATGCATTGGGTTGCCGAACTCATGGAAAGCACAGGCTTTACCAATGGTTTCCAAACAAATCCGTGGTTTCAGAAGGTCCCGGTGCCTCGAGCTCATCAGGAACATGTCATTCTGAAAATGAATAAGCGTGTTTTTTCTTTAAGTCGCCGGCTTACTACAAAGAAACCTTGCATACGTTCAATGACCAGTGCCGAAATATCGAGCAGCAATGTGGTGCGATAGAGCGTAGCTGTATGGTGATTTTTGAGAAGGCGGGTGCCCGCATGGCTTGGCCTGAATTATGATCCCTTTTGCGGAACCCTAAATATTCATACCACACCCGGCTTTCTACACTCGAAGAAGCAAAGGCATGCAATGGATTTTGCTTTCGGGCTGCAAAGATGAAATGCTTACTGTGTACTTGTCATTCTAGGGCTCGAGGGAGAAAACGTTTTCTTAGATCGTTTACGATGTACCTTGACTTTACTTGGATGGGCCTCGTTTGACAGAAGACCTGAAGGAGGTAGGTTCTGGGTACTGTAGGGGCGGTGGCATGTGTATGTATATGTATGTGTGTGTATGTATATGTATATGTATACGTACACGTATACGTATATGTATATGTATATGATTGTATATGTATATGTACTGGTATGTGTATTTGTATATGTATGTGTATATGTACATGTAGACGTACGTATATGCATACATGCATGTGTGTGTGCACATGTGTGTGGGGCCGGGGGACAGGGGGCCACTCGGCCGTTGTCGGATCCTCAAACTCCGGCGCCCAGTTTGAAACTGGCGCGTCTCTTTGTGTGTGTGTGTGTGTGTGTGTGTGTGTGTGTGTGTGTGTGTGTGTTTGTGTGTGTGTGTGTGTGTCTGCGTGTCTGTGCGTCTGCGTCTGTGTGTCTGCGGCTGCGTCTGCGTGTCTGCGTCTGTGTGGGTGTGGATGTGGGTGTGTATGTGTGCGCTTTGCAGGACATGGCCTTTCTCCGAGATCAGATTACAACAACAGAGGCGACATTGCGCCATGGTTGCTTCGAGCCTGTGCTTTTGAGCAAGCCATGCACAATCCAAAGCTTACGCGCCTGGTGCCTTCAGCAACTTCACGGTTCACATATCATCATCAAAGGGAGGCTGCTGCAATAAGCATGGTCCTGCAGAATCTGTTCCCGCCGTATAGGCATGACTTGACACTCGTGCTTAGGCCACGAGCGCCTTTAGTATCCTTAAGTCCTCATGACAGTCGCTGAGCAGGTCAACATTGCACGTACACACAACTATGGCGTGACTTGGCTAGATGCAGGCTTTGACTTGCCAGAGGAGCGTTCGGATTCTTTGCGGGTTTGGTATCCACACAGTTCTTTCAAGCTACGCGGCGCAAGTTTGCGATTGTTGCAATCACATGGGGCTCCATGGTGATGGTGGATGAGGTCAAACTGCGGCAAGCCGCCAAAGCCAAGGCCTCTCTTGGTTTGAAGAGAATGTCCAGATGGTAGAGTACTCAAGAGGGATCTTTATTGGGTGACCCCCGAAATCCTCCAGCCCCTTGTGCCTGAAGCTACTTGAACCCTGCACCCTTTGAACTTGAGCATGGCTGAGCATGCTTGACTCAGCTTGACTCAGCTTAGCGCTCCAAAGGTCCTGCACTTCAACCATCAACCCTAGCCGGCCCTAGCCGGCCCCCCTCGCTAAATGTAATGCGTTCCTCTTGAAGCCAAGGGACACGCACGTAGGTTATGGCTTAAGGCTTACGGATCAGGAGATTTGAACCCTTAACAAAGGACTAGCCTTTCCGTCATGCATTGCTCGGTCTTCTGGTTCTAAGATTTGGGACGCAATTCGACTAGACCGAAATACTGGTGTTGGGGAAGCTCAGGCTCTAGCAGCTTTAGCACGCTGAGGTTTGAATGCACATGCTCACTTCTTTGTGGGCCTGGTTTTTGGGTAGAAGCGCTGTAGCGCACTCTTCGCTCTGTGCAGCCAGGAGACGGCGAAGTCCTGAGCGGAAGAAAGACAGACGCGGCCAATGGGGAGGAAAAGGCTTTTTTTCGCCCTATGGGGGTACGAGCATAGGCTCGTGCTGTCGGCACTAAGAACGCGAAGGTGTGATATGGAAGGGGGTCCTTCGCCCGTTTTCGCCACGTGCTTTTGACGTCCACAAGAAAGCATGAACTGGCCGCCGCCAGGGTGCTACTGTATGCCATACTTGAAGACTTGAAGGGCTGGTTCGGCTGACAGTCAACCAATACGCTGAAGCAGGTGGTTGCTGCGGCGTCAGGAGGTGTCCCTGTAGCACCAGGCGGCTCCATGGGCATATGATTTCCGTGTCCATGGCAGCTCTATGTCTCCCAACTTCCGCAAGCCGCTAGACCTGCTGTGCATCCTCAAACCAGCGTGATCTTGTGAAGAGCCACTTGAAGGATTCATTTTGATTCTTTCTGGAACTTGTGGGCTGAGGTTTTCAGTTGGGTCTAGGGTTGCACCCACGCTTGCATGTGGTTTGAGAAAGCTCTCGTCGCCTCCCAAAGTCCCCCATCTGCGAAGGTACCGAGGCACACGTCGAGCAGTCTACTGCAGTGGTGCTTTGTCACTGAATATGTGCTTCGGGCACCCCACAAGTCCCACAAGTTTGCGGTGTCGCGGTACGGTTTAGGCTGGGTTCCCCCAGCTCGCAGTTTGCGAAGCAGCAGGTAGTAAAGTAGGATCGCGGGTTTGAAGAAACTGAATCCCGTAGCACACTCAATAGCTCCCATCCGAAATTCCACAAGCTTTCCATGGGAGATCGAACGCGTAAGTGAACATCAAGGGTTGTGGAACAAACGCTGCCTATTCGCCGGTGTTTGATTTTGTGTTAGATAGATGTAAATATGTAACTATATTAATATCTAATAACATACATTTTAAAACATTATGTTGACTTCGAGCATCTCCACCCTCTCTGGGTAGAGATACTCTGCGGTTGGGCACCTCCAGGGACACTCTGGGGCTGGCCACTCCAAAACACTCTAGGGTTGGGCATTGCTGGGCACTCCAGGGAAACTCTGGGGCTGGGACACTCTGAGCGGGCTGGGCACTCCAGGAACACGCTCGGGTTGCGCACTCCAGGGACACTCTGGGCACTCCAGGGATGAGCGAGGGGTAGCCCGGGCGAGGAGAAGAGATCCGGGCGAGCGGGCGAGGAGAAGAGTTGAATTTAGCATTTAACAACCCCACACCGAGGGTGGGGGAAAAACAAATATGAGCATATGTATATACCACACTTCTCGCATGAAAATGAGGCTCATATTCATAATTCTCACAATCCCACATTCCCGCAAGCACACAATCCCTCAATCCGACAAGCACAATCACAATCCCACAGGCGCGCAATCCCGCAGGCGTTGTGGGGATTGTGGAATTGTGGGATTGTGAACAGGCAACGTGATAATTTAAAATTTGAAAATGTTCAAGTTCAGGTCTTAAAGAGATGGGCCTCAAATTTGGAAATTTAACAATTAAACAAATCAATCTTGGAACTGGTGTCTGTTCTATCTTTTACACTATTTCACTATTCAAACAAGCCTGCGATTAGGGTAATGTCAATGGTTTAAACTGTTTAAACCGTTCGCATTCTCATTTCATTCAAACTAACTTGTAATTCCGGTGGAATCCCGGCTGAAGAGTTCGCGGAATCCAGAGATTTCACAAGATCAACATCAATTTATATTGAATGCAAAAACATGTCCAAAAAACAAACGGTTAAACATAGACTTGGGGGTCCTTTCTATTTTTCTAACGATCAAAAAGTACCTAAATAGACCAGAAATTAAAACACCCCGAGATTTCTTCATTTATCGAAATCATAAAGTCGTGGCCAAGTATATCTTTCAATGACATAATTGTTATAAACAGGCCAACCAGTTTGAATAGTTGAAGAAAGAGAATCGGATCATTTCTGTTCTGAAACTAGATATGCTAAGCAAGACATGAACTTTGAATTTCAACCCAGCGATCAAAGACAATGTCGGCATTGCAAAAACATACACAAATCAAAGGTTAAAAAAAGGTTCTCTTGCATTATTCTAACCTAAATTCTTAAAACGGGCCAACCGATTTAAACATGTGGATGAAAAGAATTCGGATGATTTCTTCTTTGAACCTATATGTGTTGGTGAAATCCTGGATCTAGACTTAACGGTATCCGGATATTTCATCCGATTATGACTGGTGTAAATGTTTTAAAGAATAAAACTTGTTACAATTTAAAGTACTCATCTTTTTGAATGTGCCAGACAGCTTGAATAGTTTTAATATCAGTATTGGGGCCAATGGTGGTATGAACACTGTTCAAGGTATTCACACCGTTCAAACTGATTTATTAAAGAGTTAATGGAACCCAGATATTTGCCCCTGTTTTCATAAATTTCAAGACTTAAACAATGTGAAAAGGTGGAATCATGAATTGGGGTGATGCTATTGCTTAGAATTTTGAACTATATAGACAGATAGGCCAGATAATTTACAAAAGTCAATAATGGAGCATCTTGATTGGCTTAGGTTGTTTGGAACCAGTTTCATTGCTTGGAAGTCAGGGAAGTCGAAATTCCAAGAAAGTCGCTGAAGATGTTTTGATACAAACTATCATTAAACATTGTGGAATGATCAAGTACTTCAACATGAGTTCATACTGTATCAAAATGTGAAAATAATTTAGTGAGTGATTTTTTGAAAGAGCCTGGAATTTAAATGCAAATTGTAAACTATCTAGTGTGAAACGTTTTGAAGTTGAATCGACAATGAGAAATAGGACGATGAATCTACAAATGAAAAAAAGGCGCTGGCCAGGCAAATTCAAACAAGGACAAGATCGAAACGGGGCCAACTCGAATTATGCATCCTATACAAGTTTTTTTAACACGGCTATTGGGAGAGCCTGGCAAGGCTAATGCTGTATCGGCCCGTGGTCTGGCGATGATTTTTCAACTGACTTCATACGCCTGCGAACGAAGAAAAAGGAGAATCGTGCAGACTCATGTATGCGTGATCTGTATTCCATATTGGAGATGCTCATACCAAACATACCAAAATGTGTGAAAAATACCGTACTATTTTGGGCTACGTTTTGTATAAATACGAAAACACGCAGCATTTACACCGAACCAAATTTTTTCTGTTAAACCGGAATCCGGTCGGGAACTTAAAGGAATGCAAGTGGTATGCACTCATCAAGTTTCCAATGTGTATGAAAACGGAGAAGAAAAAGAAAGAACGCAGAAGTATGTGGTATGTGTCCATATGTACAATAGTTTTGGGTTGTTTTCTTTCCCTCGCGTGTGTCTGTTTGCCGCATCTGTGTTTTCGTTGCTCGCCTTTGACAGTTGCTGATCCTGAGTCTGGGTGCAAGAGAAACGTGCAAGAGAAAGAGCGCGACTTGATCGTTTATTTCTTATTGCTCTGTCACCTGCGCGTCTTTGCTACCCTCGGCCTTCAACCCTAAACCCTACTGAAAGCGTGCCATAGAGCTTCATAAAGCTTACCCAGAACCCAAGCTGTGTTCAACTGGATCTGACAAGTCTAAGGACATCTTCGACCTTGGTCTGATGCTCCTGGTTCTGGGGCTCAGGGTTTTCAGCTGTGTTCAGGAGCTCCTTCGCGGACTTATAAGGGTGGATGGAGTAGACGCGGGGAATCCGGAAAGGGCTTTCTTGACTTCGTGGAATTGCTTTCGTGGCTTGCGGGCATACTTAGGATCCTAAAGCGCCTGCTTGCTAAACGTCTTGGCTTGCCGAGCTGTTTTGGGAGCTGTTTTGGGCCAAGTTTGATGTGGAGGGAAAGGATTTTGCCGGTTACTCAACATGGTGAAAAAGATGCTGTTACAATGTAGCCAACAGTGCGCTCTATGACCCTACATGTAACTGAAGCCTAAACCCCCAGACTCGCAAACCCCAGCCGCCCAGCCCCAAGCACCATCAACCCTGAACCGCCTGAACCCTCTTGCGCACAAGTTCTGAGGTGTCTGCGCTCGGCGGTATGGACATCCTCCTCGGGGCCATCCCCTACGCCCGACGCGACCTGAGTTTAAGTTGAACAGATGTTTGCGATGGTGTGCGGAATCAGGGGACTTCTGCATGGTTGACGTTTGGTCGGGGATCTTCAGAAGTTCAGCAAGCACTCAGTAAACAGGATTGGCTTGAACTGAAGCGGCCCATATGGCTCCCAGTCGTGCCGATCGGTGACGCTCAGGCAACCTGGGATCGGATCACCCGGTGGCGGCCTTGCTCTTCTCAAGCCCATTGGAGAATTGGGGGCGGATCGGCTTGGCAACGGGAATTCGTAGCCGCCAGATTTGGGATCGAAGTGGTCTGCGAGGTCGCCTGGAGTTTGCAAGCTTGTTGTCTCTTTTGGCAAACTTTGCGGCTCACGCCAACTCACAACACTGAACCAAAACAACTTTCCCTTTGGCTTGCGAAGTCAAGGCCTTGCATTCAAAGTCCAAGGCCTCAAGTTCGAGAAGTGTAATTAAAAAAGAGGGCCTTCGGATGTAGGATCTATGGTTTGTTGTCGTTCAGTAGGATGTAGGTTGAGGCTGCTCACCCTGCCTCGCAGTGCCGAGGAGTGAGGCATGTAAGGCATGGTAAAGTACAGGCCGACAGCTCCAGGCGACGCTTTGGAACAAATCTGGAGCTCGGAGGCACACCGAAACATGCTCCGGCAAGCCGTATGTGAGCTCTGACAAACTTGGACCATACATTTCATCAAAACCCCCCTCAACCCACAAAGCTCCACGAAACCCTGAGCCCCTAAGCCTACATCAAACCCCAATCACTCACGCTCGAAGCCCCTCATGAAACCCTGCACCAACCCAAAGGCCGAAAGGGCAGCAAATCTGCTTTTCACAGACATCGAAAGGTCTCCTCACCCGGCTCTGGCACCGCCTCGCTGCTCCTGAATGAGCTCCGGGGCTGTGCGACCCCGGAGGCACAGATGGGTCCAGGGGATCTGAGTTCAGTGAGGCTCATACAG